GGGGCTGGGGGTTAAACCCGCTGGTGCAGAAACAGCAATAGACGGTGGCAAAGTGCATTGGATTTTCTGCTGGTGCATAGGAATTTTAATGCATTTTTGTCCGATTTTGCATATGTGTCATTGAACATCGGAGGCAGGCGTGCAACATTTGTAGGCATGCACCAATCCCAGCCAATGCATAGGTCGTATGTTTGGCATATGGGATGTGTATGTATCACGTAAAGGTGCAGTGGCTTTATTGCCTGCAGCGTACGTGGAGGAGGAAGGGAAAAAAAAAAGGCCCCTGGCTTTCCCTTTTGTCTTTGTTTGTGCGTTATAGATTGCTGCTCCCCGTGCGATAATACAACATACGTCTGTGCCACGGGTTACGGCAACGGGAAGGCGACGCTCTCTATAGAGATATATAAAGATTTATGCGTAGATGGATCGCATACTCGTCTCCCCGGGCCCCGGTCCCCCTGGAGTTCGGTTATCTGGTAGAATGCCGCCCTTCTGTCACGTCTCAGGCGGCAGATAATTCAATCAGCCCCGATTGTGCCTGCTCAATCATGTCTGTATTGCTCAGTCATTTTCCTCCCCTCGCTCCCGCGCCCGTCCTTTCCTCTGTCACGTTATAATGTATGTGTTTGGAAGCGTCACCTCCGCCCAGTTCTGTCTCTTCTCCGAGGTGAGAAGAGGAAGGAAAGGAGGGGGGACAGAAATAAACTGCGTCGGGAAAAGGGGGGAACGGGAAACAGGTGTACCTGGCCAGAGTGCCGGAAGCCATTTTGTGTTGCCAGCCTCCATTCAGCCTATCGGCTCCATGGGAGAGGGGTGACATCACTGAGGTGTCTTATTTTTTCAATGATGTCATTGGTCCTGTTTCAATGCTCGTAGTTAGTGTTTGATGGAGCAAATTGGAAGCTGTATAGTCAACCTGTGCAAAGTTGAGGTGACTGGTTTGTGTGCCATTGGGCCAGGAAAGGAAAATATTGATGAGGTGCCTCTCTCAGCTTGATTCTCAGGAGTAGAACTGTTTTAAAGTGTCCCGGTAATGTGAACACAGTATAGGCCTCCATTTTGTGTCCCTGGTCTCTTTTTGGCCTATCGGCTCCCCGGAAAGTGATGACATCACTAGAAGGCCTGAATGCTTTAGTGATGTCCCCACCTACAAGGCCAAGCTCCATTTGGCCTATCAACTCTTCTGGAGAGAGTTGACAACACAAGAAGCCTGATTCCTTCAGTGATGTTCCCACCTACTAGGCCAAGTTCCATTTGGCCTATCAGCTCTTCATGAAAGTGACATCACAAGAAGGTAAAATTCCTTTAGTGATGTTCCCACCTACAAGGCCAAGCTCCATTTGGCCTATCAGCTCTTCCATAAAATGATGACATCACAAGATGTCATGATCCCTTTAGTGACGTTCCCAGCTACAAGGCCGAGCACCATTTGGTCTATCAGCTCTTCTGATGATATCACAAGAAGACCTGATTCCTTATGTGATGTTCCCAGCTACAGGGCTTGACAGAGCTCCATTTGGCCTATTTCCCCTATTGGATCTCCAGAAAGTGATGACATCACAAGAAGGCATGAATTCTTTAGTGGTGTTCCCAGCTACACGACCGAGCTCCATTCGGCCTATCAGTTCTCCAGAAAGGGAGTGATGGTGTCACTGAACCAGCTTATTGGTTAATGTCACTAGCTCCATCATGTACTATTAAGAAGCTTAAGGAAACAAAATGGCTGCCAAAAAATGTATCTATAAAAAATGGGGGCAGCCATTTTGTGTTGGCCAACCTCCATTCGGCCTATCAATTGTCCAGGAAGTGATGACATTACAAGGAAGTGTGTTTCATTAGTGATGTCCCCAGCTCCAGGGTATGAATTAGCTCAATTTGGCCTATCAGCTGTCCATAAAAGGGATGACATCACAGAGGCGCGTGATTCCTCAATGATGTCCCAAACTATAGGGTATGACCGAGCCTTATTCTGCCCCTCGGCTCTCCAAGAAGGTATTGACCTTAGAGAGATGTGTGATTCCTCAGTGACATCCCAGAGTCCAGGGTATGACCGAGCTCCATTAGTTCTCTCAGCTCCCCAGGAAGTGATGACATCACAGAGGCGCGTGATTACTTAGTGATGCCCCTGGCTCCTGGGTATGACCGAGCTTTATGCAGCCCAAAAGCTCTCCAAGATAGTGATGACATCACAGAGATGCAGAACTTCTCTGTAATGTCCCCAAATACAAGACATTACTGATCTCCATCCAGGAAGTGAAGGTGTCACTGAACCAGCTTACTCAATAATAACCTCACTAGCTTCAGCATGTACTCTTATTATATACAAAGGCTTAAGGAGATAGTAAGGAAACATGATAAGTGAATCTATAAAAAAAATGGTTGCAGCCATTTTGTCTTGGCCAACCTGCATTTGGCCTATCAGTTTCCCAAAATGTGATGACATCATAGATATGCGCGATCCCGCGGCCTTGATTCATCTCTCCTGAATTGGCTTGTAAGGCACTCCAAAGGGCCACTTTGTTGGCAAACGTTTATGTGCTCCCGTACAAGAACAGGCCTCCATTTTGGGTCCTTTAAGAAAACTAGTCACTACCGGGCCTACGATAGTATAGAAACATTCCATCTTCAGTTACTGTAAAAAGAGACCAGGAAAGCAAAATGTGACTTTAAGTGAAGGGGCAGCTCGCAAAAATGAAAGATTGAGGATGCAGAAGCCTTGGCTTGAGTTGAGGCTCTTACATTACACATCTGTAAAAAATAAGTCAAGACAACTGGACTCGCTGTATTTTTCTTCAATACTTTTTCTTCAATACCAATTCAGAATGACTTGTACATTTTGAATTGAGAAAGCTGGCCGGATGACCAGTAAAACGTCTTCACGAAAAATACAGCAAGTCCAGTTGCCTTGACTTATTTTTTACAGGTATACAATGACCTGGATACATGAGAACCTTCACAGACATTCATGAAGACGTCAAGCTAGTGACTGGTTCTCTTGATAGGTTGGTTCTCTTGATAGGTGACACTTGGTTGCATCCTTCTGCAGAAGAACCAGACAGGAAGTCAGGTGTGTGTTGGAGAATCTCTCTTCCTGCTACAAAGTATCACTTTTGGTTTTACTATTTTAATTTCTTCCAAATTCCAACCATTTGTTGATGCCTGTTGATGAATGTTCAGGACGGGTTGGCTTCATCTGGTGGGATGTATCAGTGCAGCTCCTATGCGCACCAGTCATTCGGCACATTGACTATCAGAGCCGACATTTCTGTTGTTCATATAATATGGAAAAGGTTCATTTAGGTGTATGAAGTATTCGGTATGATAGTGCTATTGGTGCTAAAGGAACATCATAATTGATGGGATGGAGCCTCATGTCAAGTTTTAGGGGCAGGGATTAGGTTCAAGTGTACGGTATAGCCAACGTTTTTAATGTATTTGTTGATAGAGAAGAGAAGGATTAGAACCCCGGTCAGGATTGATGCCGAACTAGAGTGAGATTTAAAACCTCCAATGTAATTATTATTCATCACCCGTCCTTCTGATACCACTGCCAGTCCAGATTCCATTCTTTTGATCTTATTCCGCCCCGAAGAAGGGGGACTTCTACAACCCCAGAAACAGATTGGCTTTCCTGTGACGATTGCAAATAAAAATGTTATTCTGGATTGTAGTAAGTGGAGTGGGGCTTCTATCCTTCATCCTGTATTCATGTTTCCCTAAGTCCCATCTGCAGTGCTCCTAGGGCTGCCAGTGCACTTTGATATAAAAACCCATGGCTTTATAACAAGCCAATGCTCCTCACCAAAAAATATTAGTTTTTGTTAAATCTTTGACTGTGTTCTTGTTGGGAAGGTTCACCATCTCTATTTGTCCTGGAGACCATTGTCACTGCAACCATCCCTTTTCAACTTTGGAACTCTAGAGTTCCTCCAGAGGTTGCTAGGGGTTCATTAAGCAGTGAGAAGTGGTGGATCGATTTCCTGCCTCATGATGCCTACATAGTAACAGCCCGAAAGTCACTCGGCAGAGTCAGTGGCATGGGACCTGCCATCTCTTAAGTAGGTAACCATTGAAACTAATGATTACTTTAGCTGTCTGTAAGGGAGCTCTTCTCCCAGTAACCAGCAAAGTTAGAATGGGCCTTCTCCCAATAACCACCAAAATAGAAAAAGGTTCTTCTCCCAATGACCATCAAAATAAGAAGGGGTTCCTCTCCCCATCACCACCAAAATAGGAAGGGGTTCTTCTCCCAATGATAGTCAAAATAGAAAGGGGTTCTTCTCCCAATGACCACCAAAATAAGAAAAGGTTCTTCTCCCAATGACCATCAAAATAAGAAGGGGTTCCTCTCCCAATGACCACCACAATAAGAAGGGGTTCATCTTGAAAGACCACCAAAGTAAGAAGGGGTTCTTCTCCCAATGACCACCAAAATAAGAAGGGGTTCTTCTTGAATGACCACCAAAATAGGAAGGGGTTCATCTTGAATGACCACCAAAGTAAGAAGGGGTTCTTCTCCCAATGACCACCAACATAAGAATGGGTTCTTCTTGAACGACCACCAAAATAAGAAGGGGTTCTTCTAAATAAAACCTAGTTTGTAGCTGAGCAACCAGACTTCCTGCAATGCCCACCAGCACCAGCTAGTACCCAGTTCTCCAGGACACTATACCACAATGCAGCAAGCCAGTGTACACCTTTCAGGCCCCATATTGAAGATCCTCTTTCAGCAAACTCCCCCGCCCCCCAAGGAAGCAGTCCTGGAAATTATAGGCCTCAAACACAGTCTCTTCTCCTGGTCACAGCCCAGGAGGCATGAGCACTTCTACAAGGTCACCCCAAATATTTATATCCTCCTGCAGCATGCACAAAGGGGTGCGATGCTGTTTATATAATTGACCTTATATGGTGGTCACATGGGCCCTAAATTAAAAAAAAATCCTCTCTTATTTTGCACACGATAGATAAATTATAGTGATATGAATAATATCCTTGTACATTATATGTAATTACATGGCAGCTCATCCTCTATTTACACATAATGAGATCACTTCTGAAAATCCGGGATGATTACTACATCAGCAACATGCCATGGACACATATTAGATCAACACAATGTCTCTGCCAAGAGAGTCAGGGAGAAGGGGATCGGGCAATGCTCTCAAACGAGATTAAAATACAAACAATAACCTCCTCTCATTGGTCTTCTAACATTACATACCATATTGTTTCAGGTTTGGAGCTAGGTGGAGGTAGAAGGTTAGGATGAGGTGTATGGGTTGGAGTAGATGAAGGTGAGAGGTTAGAATGAGGTTTAGGGTTAAAAGGTTGAGGTGACGGGTAGGGTTAATGTTTAGGGTTGAGTAGTATGTTGAGGTGACGAGTGAGATTAAGGTTTAGTGTTAGGTAGTATGTTGAGGTGAAGGGTTAAGGTTTGGGATTAGGTAGCATGTTGAGGTGACTAGTGAGGTTGATGTTTAGGGTTGGGTAGTGTGTTGAGGTGAAGGGTTGGGTTAAGGTTTAGGGTTAGGTAGTATGTTGAGGTGACCAGTGAGATTAAGGCTTAGGCCTGGTTCACACCTAGGCGTATTGCATATGTACCTCTGTCGAGCGACCGTCGCTCGTTTTTTTTACCGCGATTCGCTGTAAAAAAGTTGCGCGACAAACGCGCGTTTCCGAAGGCTACTTGGCTGTATCCCAATGGAAACGCGCAACAAAACGGCCCAAAGTAGTGCATGTACCTTTTCAGGCATGGGCCGTTTTGTAGCGCGTTAGGGACGGGCGGAAATACGCCAAGGTGGGAACGAGACCATTGAATACAATGGGATTTATATTTTTGAGCGTTCAGGTGTGAACGAGGTCTTCGGGTTAGGTAGTATGTTGAGGTGACCAGTGAGATTAAGGTTTAGGGTTAGGTAGTATGTTGAGGTGACCAGTGAGATTAAGGCTTAGTGTTAGGTAGTATGTTGAGGTGACCAGTGAGATTAAGGTTTAGGGTTAGGTAGTATGTTGAGGTGACCAGTGAGATTAAGGTTTAGGTGTTCAGTTGAGATGAAAGGTTAGGCTCAGATATAGGGTTAGGAGTTATATTAATGCAAAGGCTTAGGTTAAGGTTTTGGGGTTTGCAGGTTTAGTGTTAGGTGTGAGGTTGATGTGAACAGTTAGGTACTTTTTAGAGTTCTTTAGGGTACGTTTTCAGGTGTAAGGGTTGGGGTGAAGGGATATCATAAGGTTTAGGGTTAGGTTGATTTAAAGAGTAAGGTTAAGATTTAGGGTTAGTTGTTCAATCGGGTTGAAGGTTTAGGCCAACGTTTAGGTAATAGTTTGAGGTGAAGGGGTTGATTCATGATTGGGGTGAGGTTGAGGTTAAGATCCAGGTTAAGGTTTGGGTGAAGTATTAGTTTAAAGCTTGGGGTTAGGTTGTATGTTGAGGTGAAGGGTTAGGTTCAGATTTAGGGTTAGGTCTTATGTTGTGGTGAAGGATTAGATGAAGGGTTAGGCTCAGATTTAGGGTTAGGTGTTCGACTGAGGCCAAGGTTTAGGCCAAGGTTTAGGTAATAATTTGAGGGGAATGGGTAAATTAAGGATTAGGGTTAGGTGTTCGGTTGATGTTAAGGGATAGGTTAAGGTTTGGGTGAAGTTTTAGGTTAAGGTTTAGGTCTTACTTCGAGGTGAAGGGTTAGGTTGATGTTTAGGGTTAGGTCTTATGTTGAGGTGAAGGGTTAGGTTTAGATTTAGGGTTCTGTCTTATGTTGAGGTGAAGGGCTAGGTTTAGATTTAGGGTTCTGTCTTATGTTGAGGGGAAGGGTTAGGTTTAGATTTAGGGTTCTGTCTTATGTTGAGGTGAAGGGCTAGGTTTAGATTTAGGGTTCGGTCTTATGTTGAGGTGAAGGGGTAGGTTTAGATTTAGGGTTCTGTCTCATGTTGAGGTGAAGGGCTAGGTTTAGATTTAGGGTTCGGTCTTATGTTGAGGTGAAGGGTTAGGTTTAGATTTAGGGTTCTGTCTTATGTTGAGGTGAAGGGCTAGGTTTAGATTTAGGGTTCTGTCTTATGTTGAGGGGAAGGGTTAGGTTTAGATTTAGGGTTCTGTCTTATGTTGAGGTGAAGGGCTAGGTTTAGATTTAGGGTTTGGTCTTATGTTGAGGTGAAGGGCTAGGTTTAGATTTAGGGTTCTGTTTTATGTTGAGGGGAAGGGCTAGGTTTAGATTTAGGGTTAGGTCTTATGTTGAGGTGAAGGGTTAGGTTTAGATTTAGGGTTCGGTCTTACGTTGAGGTGAAGGGCTAGGTTTAGATTTAGGGTTCGGTCTTACGTTGAGGTGAAGGGCTAGGTTTAGATTTAGGGTTTGGTGTTCAGTTGAGGTTTATAGTTCAGTGTTGAGTTGAGGGCAAGATTGAGGTTTGGAGGGTTAGAGTTAGTGATTAGACACTCCCAGAAGAGGAGAAGGCTATGACATACAAGGAGGGAGGGGCCTGCGTTTTCCTGCATTTATGGAAGTTGGTGACAGGGTCTCTTTATCATGTCTGTGTGTTGCCTCCATTGCTCAGGACTGCCCCTGCTGGATGAGGAGGGTACAAATATCCCAGAACTGCTCCACACCCCCTCCATGGGGCGCTCGGACCCCGTCTCCCTGGAGCAGCTGGTGCATCAGGCTGTGATGAAGAAAGATTTCCTGGGCCAGGAGAGCTTCTTCGAAGGTGAGCGATGGCGGGCTGTGGGCACTCAAGCAGTAGACACCTCACAATCTAACTGACATTGCTCTCTCTGATTTCCCTAAAATCTCACATGTCCATGTCATTATAAAGGTCATTTCCATATTTGCAAATCTGCAGCTTTCATTAAAATAATCCCTAGTGATCCTGCCATTTAGTGTCTTCTTCAGGCACTTCCTGTTATAGGGTGACAACTCTGTCTCTGTCTCCCAGTTGTTCTCCTGTGTTGTCACACGGGCTTCCGATGGAGACTACAAGTGGGTTTCCACGGTTGTCACCATCAGGAAACCCAACCTGAGAAATTTCATGCAGCCATTGCTGCAGTGCACGTAGACAGGAAGTGGCTGCAAAGAGGCTGCATGAGATGGAACAAAGGCTGAAAAAAAAGGATGATTATTTAAATAGGAGGCAATTGTTTAATTACACGCGGTGCTTCGGCAAAGCAGAGACGTCATTCATTTAGGGTTCACATCAAATAATATCATGTGTCTGTTTGATTTTCATGTACGCACAGTTGGCACAACCTCCATCCCCACCCTGGGAGCCCCCATGTCCCTGACCGACGACCTGGCTCCGGCTGGGGTCAGCGAGACCTCCGGGGTCCTCACCACAGCCATTGGTGGAGCTTTCTCCCTGCCGCCACCTCTCAGTACCCTGACCCCTCCATCGCCGGCACCCACAGGAGGTACGGGACCCTCCGCCGAGGGGGAGGAAGAGACCACCACCACCCTGATCACCACCACCACCGTCACCACGGTGCACAGCCCAGGTGAGGATCATACCACTGGTTATATATATATATACTGTATGTGTGATATTTGTGTAGCTGTGACATCATCACTCTCAATCATCTCTACTAAGAGAAGACAATCCATAGGAATCACAACCCCGGATCTGGAGATTATATGATACCACCATCCCTGTGCTGAGTTCCCGGGTCTGTACCCCCGCTGTGCCCATTATGCGGAGCTCCCACCATCCCTGTGCTGAGTTCCTGGGTCTGTACACCCGCTGTGCCCATTATGAGGAGCTCCCCCCATCCCTGTGCTGAGTTCCCGGGTCTGTACCCCCGCTGTGCCCATTATGCGGAGCTCCCACCATCCCTGTGCTGAGTTCCTGGGTCTGTACACCCGCTGTGCCCATTATGAGGAGCTCCCCCCATCCCTGTGCTGAGTTCCCGGGTCTGTACCCCCGCTGTGCCCATTATGCGGAGCTCCCACCATCCCTGTGCTGAGTTCCTGGGTCTGTACACCCGCTGTGCCCATTATGAGGAGCTCCCCCCATCCCTGTGCTGAGTTCCCGGGTCTGTACCCCCGCTGTGCCCATTATGCGGAGCTCCCACCATCCCTGTGCTGAGTTCCTGGGTCTGTACACCCGCTGTGCCCATTATGAGGAGCTCCCCCCATCCCTGTGCTGAGTTCCCGGGTCTGTACCCCCGCTGTGCCCATTATGCGGAGCTCCCACCATCCCTGTGCTGAGTTCCTGGGTCTGTACACCCGCTGTGCCCATTATGAGGAGCTCCCCCCATCCCTGTGCTGAGTTCCCGGGTCTGTACCCCCGCTGTGCCCATTATGCGGAGCTCCCACCATCCCTGTGCTGAGTTCCTGGGTCTGTACACCCGCTGTGCCCATTATGAGGAGCTCCCCCCATCCCTGTGCTGAGTTCCCGGGTCTGTACCCCCGCTGTGCCCATTATGCGGAGCTCCCACCATCCCTGTGCTGAGTTCCTGGGTCTGTACACCCGCTGTGCCCATTATGAGGAGCTCCCCCCATCCCTGTGCTGAGTTCCCGGGTCTGTACCCCCGCTGTGCCCATTATGCGGAGCTCCCACCATCCCTGTGCTGAGTTCCTGGGTCTGTACACCCGCTGTGCCCATTATGAGGAGCTCCCCCCATCCCTGTGCTGAGTTCCCGGGTCTGTACCCCCGCTGTGCCCATTATGCGGAGCTCCCACCATCCCTGTGCTGAGTTCCTGGGTCTGTACACCCGCTGTGCCCATTATGAGGAGCTCCCCCCATCCCTGTGCTGAGTTCCCGGGTCTGTACCCCCGCTGTGCCCATTATGCGGAGCTCCCACCATCCCTGTGCTGAGTTCCTGGGTCTGTACACCCGCTGTGCCCATTATGAGGAGCTCCCCCCATCCCTGTGCTGAGTTCCCGGGTCTGTACCCCCGCTGTGCCCATTATGCGGAGCTCCCACCATCCCTGTGCTGAGTTCCTGGGTCTGTACACCCGCTGTGCCCATTATGAGGAGCTCCCCCCATCCCTGTGCTGAGTTCCCGGGTCTGTACCCCCGCTGTGCCCATTATGCGGAGCTCCCACCATCCCTGTGCTGAGTTCCTGGGTCTGTACACCCGCTGTGCCCATTATGAGGAGCTCCCCCCATCCCTGTGCTGAGTTCCCGGGTCTGTACCCCCGCTGTGCCCATTATGCGGAGCTCCCACCATCCCTGTGCTGAGTTCCTGGGTCTGTACACCCGCTGTGCCCATTATGAGGAGCTCCCCCCATCCCTGTGCTGAGTTCCCGGGTCTGTACCCCCGCTGTGCCCATTATGCGGAGCTCCCACCATCCCTGTGCTGAGTTCCTGGGTCTGTACACCCGCTGTGCCCATTATGAGGAGCTCCCCCCATCCCTGTGCTGAGTTCCCGGGTCTGTACCCCCGCTGTGCCCATTATGCGGAGCTCCCACCATCCCTGTGCTGAGTTCCTGGGTCTGTACACCCGCTGTGCCCATTATGAGGAGCTCCCCCCATCCCTGTGCTGAGTTCCCGGGTCTGTACCCCCGCTGTGCCCATTATGCGGAGCTCCCACCATCCCTGTGCTGAGTTCCTGGGTCTGTACACCCGCTGTGCCCATTATGAGGAGCTCCCCCCATCCCTGTGCTGAGTTCCCGGGTCTGTACCCCCGCTGTGCCCATTATGCGGAGCTCCCACCATCCCTGTGCTGAGTTCCTGGGTCTGTACACCCGCTGTGCCCATTATGAGGAGCTCCCCCCATCCCTGTGCTGAGTTCCCGGGTCTGTACCCCCGCTGTGCCCATTATGCGGAGCTCCCACCATCCCTGTGCTGAGTTCCTGGGTCTGTACACCCGCTGTGCCCATTATGAGGAGCTCCCCCCATCCCTGTGCTGAGTTCCCGGGTCTGTACCCCCGCTGTGCCCATTATGCGGAGCTCCCACCATCCCTGTGCTGAGTTCCTGGGTCTGTACACCCGCTGTGCCCATTATGAGGGGCCCCCACCATCTCCTATATATGACATTTGTGTCTTCTCCTCTTCCAGTTCTGTGTAACAACAACATTTCAGAGTTGGAGGGAATCCTCGAGGCTCCGGAATACTCTGGTGGAAGTTTCTTCGGTGGGCTGGACTGTACGTACAGCGTGTCGGTGTACCTGGGTTACGGAGTGGAGATTCGGGTGAGTTTCGTCCTTTTGGTGACTTTGTATTTCATCTCCTCCATGTTCTATGTGCACGAGATGGAAAGAGAAGCAGAACGTGCGAAGCCCGGATTAAATGTATGCAGACTCTTGTATCATAAAAAGCCGACGCGTTTCGGGCTTTATAGTGTCCCCCTTCATCAGGGCTCGGTACCGTTCAGTGGAGCATGCATTGGACTGATGACGTGGGAGGGATCCTAGGGGGGGTAATGAATATAATTGCTCCGGCTGTATGTATCTATAATCAGGACGTGTTTTCAGGTGGAGAAGCTGAACTTGTCCAAAGAGGAAGCTCTGAGCATCGAGGGTGTGGAAGAAGACCGCCGCTTCCTGCTGGCCAACGAGACCCTGATGGCCGAGGGTCAGGTGATCCGCAGCCCAACCAATCACATCGCAGTGCGTTTTCAAACCTTTCGCTCCACCGGTCTCGTGGCCTTCAAACTCCGCTACCAAGGTGCGTCCTCATTGGCCGGACCTGATACACCATCTGTGGGGGTCTATTGAAAAACAAAATGCAGCACTAATTATCCTGTGTGTATAATAGTTCTGTCTGAATCAGTCAGATGATGAGAGAATCGGGCAAATGTTCTCAGGATGTTTTCTCTTCTGGTTGAATGTTCTTCAAATATAGTAGCGAATGGGTAAAAATACCGCATTATGGCCACTAGATGGAGCTGAGGATCAGAGGAAATAATAATACTTATCCCCTATGCTCCTCAGCTCCCCCTGGTGGCCATAATAATACTTATCCCCTATGCTCCTCAGCCATAATAATACTTATCCCCTATGCTCCTCAGCTCCATCTAGTGGCCATAATAATACTTATCCCCTATGCTCCTCAGCTCCATCTAGTGGCCATAATAATACTTATCCCCTATGCTCCTCAGCTCCATCAAGTGGCCATAATAATACTTATCCCCTATGCTCCTCAGCTACATCTAGTGGCTATAATAATACTTATTGCCTACGCTCCTCAGCTCCCTCTAGTGGCCATAATAATAATACATATTTCCTATGCTCCTCAGCTACATCTAGTGGCCATTATAATAATACTGATATTTCCTATGCTCCTCAGCTCCATCTAGTGGCCATAATAATAATACTTATCCCCTACGCTCCTCAGCTCCCCCTAGTGGCCATAATAATAATAATATTAATCCACTATGCTCCTCAGCTCCCCCTAGTGGCCATAATAATAATTTGTATTTCCTATGCTCCTCAGCTCCCTCTAGTGACCATTATAATAATACTTATTCCCTACGCACCTCAGCTCCCTCTAGTGGCCATAATAATAATAATAATTTGTATTTCCTATGCTCCTCATCTCCCTCTAGTGGCCATTATAATAATACTTATCCCCTATGCTCCTCAGCTCCCCCTAGTGGCCATAATAATAATATTAATCCCCTATGCTCCTCAGCTCCCCCTAGTGGCCATAATAATAATATTAATCCCCTACGCTCCTCAGCTCCCCCTAGTGGCCATAATAATAATTTGTATTTCCTATGCTCCTCAGCTCCCTCTAGTGGCCAATAATGATAATACTTTTTCCCTATGCTCCTCGCCTCCGTCTAGTGGCCAAAATAATAACACGTATTCCCTACGCACCTCAGCTCCCTCTAGTGGCCATTATAATAATAATGATATTTCCTATGCTCCTCGGCTCCCTCTAGTGGCCATTATAATAATACTGATATTTCCTATGCTCCTCGGCTCCCTCTAGTGGCCATAATGATAATACTTATTCCCTATACTCCTCAGCTCCCTCTAGTGGCCATTATAATAATACTGATATTTCCTATGCTCCTCAGCTCCCTCTATTGGCCATTATGAGGTATGTTCACTTTTCACTGCTATATTTGAAGAACATCCTAAGAACATTTGATTTTGCCCCATTCTCACAACAAATGGTTCATTCCCATTGAACGAAGCTACAGGCAGTTCTTCTGGACTTGCGATTCTCCGTAATGTATTACAAAAAAAAATCTATTACAAATGGTCAATGTTCTCTATCGTCTTCCCAGCCTACGTCTTGAGCTGCGTCTTCCCTCCGCGACCGGATAACGGAGAAGTGACCGTCACGGACCTCCACCCCGGAGGGGCCGCTAACTTCCACTGTGCCCCCGGGTTCACGCTGAAGGGTGTAGACTCCCTGGTCTGCCTGAACATTACCCGTCCGCAGTGGAGTGGCAAGCCGCCAGTATGTACAGGTGAGGGGTGCCGGGCAGCAGGCGGAGGTTCTGGGGGCTGTGTATATACATATAAATATATATTGCAACCATGGCAAGAGTATTTAGATGGAATCGCTCATCGGTGTGCTGCTGTGATTGGCTCTTGCCTTTCCAAAAACTCTGCAATGTATATCTAAAGCCAAAACTTGTTTTTTCGGTTAGGGAAGGGTTAACCCTCTTAGGTTTAGAAGCACAGAAACACCCATACTGATTGTTGAGCAGCTCCCCCCCCCCCCCCAAA